AACCAGAACTCTGCATCTTGCAAAAACAAATCCTGTAGTTCCCTCTTGCCCTCGTCCCAGCCCTTGGCAAGCACCATTCTGCTTTCTGACTCTTCTTCACATGAATGAAATCATACAGTAGTATTTGTCTTCCTGTAACTAATCGACTTCATTTGACGTAGGTACTCAAAGTTGACCCATGTAGCATGTGTCAGAATCTGATTGCTTTCTAAGGTGCAAAAATAATCCATTATATTTATAATATCACATTTTGTGTGTTCATGTGTCAATGAATACTTGGGTTGTGTCCAACTTTTTGGTTGTCTTCAATAGTACTGCTATGAACAAGGTCTACAAATATCTGAAACTGCTTTCAATTCTTTTAAGTGGAATTACAGGATCAGAGAAAATTATTTTTGAATTTTTTAGGAACTGCTATTGTTTTTGATAGCAGCTGTATCATTTTACATTCCCACTTAGAGTGTACAAATTTCCCCAGATCCTTGCCAATACTCCTATCATCTACTTTTTTTTTCTTTTTTTAAATAGTAGTCATCCTAATGGGTTTGAGGCTTTATTTCATTGTGGTTTTGATTTTAATTTTCCTAATTATTAATTAAAAGATGCGGAACTGTGCTTTTTAGCCCTTCATATGTATTCTTTAGAGAAATATATTACAATAATTTAATGAAAGTATTATTATACTTTTAATGTCACATAGCCAAGAAATCCTTGCCACATCTCATGTTATGATCTTTTCCTCCTGGGTTTCTAAGAGTTTTATAGCATTAGCTCTTATTCTTAAGTCTTTGATTCACTTGAGTTAATTTTTGCATAGTATGAGATCAGGAAAGAATTCTTTTGCATGTGCATATTCAGTTCCCCAGCACCACTCTGTTAAAGAGACTATCTTTTCCCATCTTCTTTTTTTTTTTTTTTTTAAATCTCTTGACCATATATGTGAGGGTTTGTTTCTAAGATTTATTCTATTCTATTGATCCATATGTCTGTCTTGATGCCAGCACCACATTGTTCTAATATTGTACCTTTGTAGTAAGATTTGAAATCAAGAAACGTGAGACCTTTATCTTTGTTCTCTTTCAAGATTAATTTGGCTATTTGGGGTTCCTTGAGGTGTCCTACGAATGTAAAGAAAGATTTTTCTATTTCTACAAAAACCACTACTGTGATTTTGATAAAAACTGAATTTAATCTGTAGATCTCTTTGAGTTACTACTGACATCTTAACAATATATTAAGCCTTTCAATCCATAAACACATGATGTCTTCCCATGTATTTGTCTTTAGTTTCTTCCAGCATATAAGTCTTTTACCTTCTTTCTTAAGTTTATTCCTTAGTATTTTATTCTTTTTGATGGTATTTTAAATGGAATTGTTTTCTAAATTTCTTTTTTGGAATGTTCATTGTTAGTATATAGAAACAATTCATTTCTGACTTTACTGAATTCCTCTATTATGATAGTTTTTCCTTATGGTTTTCTACATATAAGAACATGTTGTTTATGAACAGCAATGTTACTTCTTCCTTTCCAATTTGGATGTCTTTCTTCTTCTGTACTAATTGGTCAAGTTACAACTTATGTACTATGTAAAGCAGAAGGGACATAAATTGGTGCCTTTCTCTTGTTCCTGATCATAGCTTTTGGGCTTTTCACCATTGGGTATGATATCAGATGTGGTCTTTTCACATATAGCCTTCTGTTATGTAGAGATAGTTTCCTTCTTTCCGGGTTTTTAATTTTTTAATCACCAGCTTTTGAATCTTGTCAAATACTTTTTTGGCATCAATTCAGATGACAATGTGGGGTTTCTCCATTCTGTTAATATGGTATGTTAACATTGATTTTTGAATGTTTAATTATCCTTGCATTCTAGCAATAAATTCTATTTGGTCACCATGTATAATTTTTTTAATGTGCTGTTAACTTTACTTTGCTATTATTCTGTAAAGGATTTTTACATCAAAATTGATCAAGGATGTTGGCTTATAGTTTTCTGTAGAATACAGAAGTGTTCTATTCAATTCTAGGGAAGTATTTAAGGATAATAGATGGTGTTAATTCTTCTCTAAATGTTTGGTAGAATTCACAAGTGAAGCCAGACAGTTCTGGACTTTTATTTATCAGAAGGTTTTTGATACTCATTCAGTATCCTTACTAATTATAGGTCTATTCAGAATTTATATTATTCAGTTTTGGTAGGCTGAGTTTCTAGAATTTTTAATTTCATTTTGGCTATCCAAATGTTGGCTACACTGTTCATAGTATTTTTATGATACTTTCTATTTCTGTAAAATTGGTTGTATTGCCCCCTCTTTCATTTCTGATTTTAGGTATTTGAATCCTCTTTATCTTTTCTTCATCAGTCTACCTGAAGGTTCATTAATTTGTTAATCTTTCCAAAGCACCAACTGTTTCATTTGATTTTTTTTTATTCTCTTATTTCTGCTCTCATGTTTATTATTCTCCATTTCTGCTAGCTTTGAGGTATTTCTGGTTCCTTAATTATTAAGTTAGGTTGGTTTGGGATCTTCTGCATTCTTAATATAAGCATTACATTATTAGTATTAGCAATGTTTATACTCTATCCTATACATTTTGGTGTATTGATTTTCTAATTTCCATAGTTATATCTTCTTTGACCCACTGGTAGTTTGAATGTGCTATAAAGTTTGGATCCTGAATGTCCCCCAAAGGCTCATGTGTTGAAGACTTGTTGGTGGCCCATGAATCTATGGGCATTAGTGGACCTTTAGGAGACAGGGCCTATGGAAGGAAGTTAGGTCATTGGGGCATGCCCTTGAAGGGGATATTGGGACTCTAGCCCTTTCTTCTTGTTGCTTCCTGGATGCACTGAGGTGAACAGGCTGCCTCTGCCCTGTACCTCCTGCTGTTATGTACTATGCCCAAAGCACCAGGACCAGGTGACCATGGACTAAAAACCATGGGCCAAAATTAATTGTTGATCTCAGGTATTTGGTCATAGTGATGAAAAGTTGACGGATACAGGATTGTGTTGCTTAATTTGTGGATTTTCCAGTTTTTCTAATTTCATTCCAATAATTCAGCATTTTAAAATTTATTAAGACTTTTTTTTGTGGTCTATGATTAATCTATCCTAGAGAATGTTCCATGTGCACTTGAGAAAACTACCCATTGTTGGGAAGAGTTTATTCTTCTTTGGTCTAGTTGCTTTGTAGTAGTCAGAAAATAAACAAGGAAACAGGGGACCTGACTACTACAAAGCAACTAGACCAAAGAAGAATAAACTCTTCCCAACAATGGGTAGTTTTCTCAAGTGCACATTTTCTATCTAGTGGTTATTTCTATTATTCAAAGCAAGGTACTCGTGTTTTCTACTATTATTGTAGAGTTGTTTCTTTCTTTAAATCTCCTATCATGTTTACTTCATACATTTAGGCACTCTGATATTTGATGCATAAATATTTATTATAACAGTTTTGACTTAGTCTATTTTCCCTTCCATCCCAGAGAAGGAAATTGGAATTGGCTGTACCAGGGAGGATGTGGGGAAAAGGCAAACAAACACCATGTGATGTCTGCCCATCTTATATGTGGCTTTTGCTTGATTAGGCATTTTCTTCATTGCTGCCTAATTGACTTCTAGAGTTCTCACAAAACTACTTAGGCCTGGAGCTTCCTAATCTGCCATCTTTCTAACATCACTTTTTTTCTTTTTTTAGTAGTTGATATCGACTTTTATTTTATTCATTTATTTATATATGGTGCTGGAAATCGAACCCAGTGCCTCACACATGTCAGGCAAGTACTCTACCACTGAGCCACAAACCCAGCCCTTGCTAATATCACTTTTAGAGTGTTTTTTTTTTTCCTAAAGAAAAAGTATAGCTGGGTGTGGCTGTGCATGCCTGTAATCCCAGTAATTCAGGCTGAGACAGAAGGCTTGTAAACTCAAAACCAGCCTCTGCAACTTAGTTCCTGTCTCAAAATAAAAGGGAAATTGGGATGCTCAGTGGTAGAATGCCCCTAGCTTCAATACCCAGTGCCATGGTGGTGGTGGTGGTGGTGGTGGGGAAGCCTATACTTACTGCACTTTACTTTTTCTAGTATTCTTTTTTTACCTTTTTAAAATATGTTTACATAAACAGATTTGGATTTCCTTGGCTAGCAGACTTGTCTGTCTTGCAGGGACCATGAGTTCCTAAATGGCATTAGGGTGTGTGTACTGGCCTGGAGTAAATGGGACATCTGCCCAGTGTTGGGACATCTGCAGCGGGTCTGCTCTTAGTGCCCCCAATACCACCACAGCCAAGGAGGACTATAATGGTGGAATATATAAATCATGTAATGTTTAGTATGAAGAAGATTTACTGGCAAAATTAAAAGTATCAGTGATTTCCTTTTGGTATCATTTTATTATTATATGAAAGAGTAAACATTTCAGTATTTCAAATACAGAGAGATTTTGCATTGTATAAGACAATTTTACTATGATCTAGTCTCCCTTATGAGCAGTGCATGAATTCTCTAAGTTTTTAGACTATACCTGTTCCCTGTATGTATGCAGATTTCAAGGGCTTTTTAAAGGATTTCCACATAGAAATTTGTACCATCCTGGCAGTACTATTAGTCCAACAAGACTACTGTTTTTGTTTGAGGTCTATCCCTGTGAACCCATGAACTGGTTAAGTACATTCAGGAAAAACTAGGTAAATGAGGTCTTCAACCAGTATATCCTTTAAAGATCATATTTTGCTTAGTAGTGATTATTCATCTATGCCTTGAAATGTATTTTTGGGGTTCAAATATTTGTTAACTGTCCAGAGTTCATTCAGTACAAGTTTATAATATGACCTGACCATGATTTAAAGCTATCAAATTCCAGTAATTTGGTAATACAAAGAAAGTTTTATGTACATGTATATTTCAATTAAAAATAATTTTTATTACTGATGTAAAATAAAAGAATTTACTTCAAAGAAATAAAAAGATTACATACTAGAAATTTTTCTTTTGTAGGATATAGCAAATGAAGAACACAAAAAAATTGAAATGTTAAAATCAGAAAACAAGAAGCTAGAAAAACAAAAAGGAGAATTAATAATAGGGTTTAAGAAACAATTAAAATTAATTGATGTTTTAAAAAGGCAGAAGGTGAGTATCAATGAAGGATTATAGATATTATCTGGACCTTTGTATTAGAGTTTTACTTTGTTACATTTTGGTATCCTTAGACAAATTTTTATCTAAATAAAATCTATTATACATAAGCTTGTATAATATATCATGCAAGTAAATTAGTTACATGGGAAATGGGGCTGGTACAAATATTTGCCAAATATAGAATTACATATAACAATAACTATTTAGGTGACTATTTTCCTTTTCAAACCTTAAAGAACTTTAATTCCAAATCACTGTTGTTCCTTGCTCTTAATATGTAGTGGGAAGAAAGGAGTTCATAGAACTCCCACTTTCCTTTTTAAGGTATTTTACAATATTGAATTTTAATGGTAGGTTGGTTCAGTATTACTGTTGGGATAAGAAAGGCTTTTCAAATATTTTGCTTATTAGAACGCATGTTTCTCAAACTTATATTTTGATACCCACACACTTTTCCTTGTTCTAAGGTCTACTCAATATTAAGTCAGACAATATTGATTTCTTTTTAAACAGATGCACATTGAAGCTGCCAAGATGCTCTCTTTCACTGAAGAAGAATTTATGAAGGCACTTGAATGGGGCAATTCATGAATGATCTACTTCAATTAGTCTCTATAACTTAAAAAGTTAAAACTTTTTAGTTTCACAAAAATCTTCAAAGATTTCCTAATTAGATGTGGGGCTATAAAACTTTCTCATATGTAATTATTAATGAAAAAGGAAATATTGTATAAAATAAAGCAGCAAGAATTTTTTAATCTATTTCTTACGACCATTTTTAATTTTTTTCTTATGACTTTTTTGATATTTTACAACTGCACTTAAAAATATTTTACATCCTGGGAGATAGAGCAAATGGTAGAATAGGACTCTCCAGTGATCCTTCCCACAGGTGAAATATTTGGCACCCAAAACCTACAGGCACTGAGGTCTGTCTGCCTACTGATGAGGTCTGTACATAATCTAAGGCTGCTGTGCTGGCTAGCAGACTTGTCTGTCTTGCAGGGACTGTGAATTCCTAAATGGTACTAGGAGTCAAGGGGACATCTGCCCAGTGTTGGGTTTTACTGAAGTGGGCCTGCTATAAGTGCTCCTAATACCACCAGAGCCAATGAGGACTGTAATGGTGGAATATATAAATCATGTATGTTTAGTATGAAGAAGGTTTACTGGCAAAATTAAAAGTATTAATTTGTTAAGCCTGAGATGTAAATAGGCACAAAGATGTAATCTGACATCAAATATATAAAGTGGATTATGTGATCAAAGTTATCAGTTTAACATAATAACCTGTTTTATGAGATGTGCAAGTCTCTTTAATAATCACAAAGCAAAAGCCTGTAGTACACTAAAAATAATCAAATCATACAATTATGATAATGGAATGTGATTGACATTATTACATGGATGAAAACAAAAATTGGTGTGAATATTCTTTGTATACAACCAGAGATATGAAAAATTGTGCTTTAGAGGCTGGGGATATAGCTCAGTTGGTAGAGTGCTTGCCTAGCATGTATAAGGCCCTGGGTTCAATCCCCTGCACCACCACTGGGGGGGAAAAAAGAAAAATTGTGCTTTATATGTATAATAAAAATTGTAACGCATTCTGCTGTCATATATAAATAAAAAATTAATTTAAAAAACAAAACAAAACAAAAAAAAAAACACATACAATTAGAGAACATTACTCAGCCACAAAGGCCCTAAGAGTGGAAGATCAACAAAGCAGAATCACAAAACAGTAGTAGTAAATGCTGATGATAATCATCTGGAATGTTAATGGATTAAATTTTCCAAATAAGAGGAGCTAAATGGATAAATAACAAAATCCACCCGTACACTTCCTGTAAGACTCAGGATGTACACAAAGTAAAGGGATGGCAAAAACATATTTCATACAGAGAGAACTAGGATAGTTATGTCAAAGTACACATTAGACACAAACTATATTAAAAGGTCATTATGTAATATCAAGAGCATTAATAAGAAATTGTCAAATATGTATGCACCTAAATACATATAGCAGTTTTTATTAAATGATCTGAAGGGAAAGATGGTGTAGGACCTCAATGACCCACATTCAATAATGGATAAATTGAGAGAAAAATCAAACATTGAATGTTTCACTTCTAAAAAACAAAATTCCATCCAAGAACAAAATACATATTTTTAAGTGCACTTAAAACGTTCTTCAGGATAGATCACATTAGTCCACAAAACAAATTTTAATAAAATTACATCAAGTATCTTTTTTTAGCCACAATGGTATAAAACTATAAATTGGTAACAGAAGGAACTTCAGAAACTTTACAAATACACGGAAGTTAAACAATATGCTCCTGAATAACCAGCAATCAGTGAGGAAAAGGTAAATTTTGAATTTGAGAGGAAAAATGAAAACTAAAGCATTTCTAAGGGAAGTTCAAAGCAATAAATGCGTATTTCAAAAGGAAATAGTTCAAAACACCAAAATTGCACCTCAAGGAATTAGAAAAAACAAGCTCAATTCAAAATTAGTACAAGAAAGGAAATAATAAAGATCAGACATAAGGGAAACTGGAACTAGGAAAATGAGCCAGGTTGGATATCCCTACTCTAAAAATCCAAAATCATCAATCCTCCAAAATCCAAGACATTTTGTCTGACCTAATGCCACAAATGAAAAACACTTAATGTGACAGGTTGTAGTTAAAACATAATTATGCTAAAAATACTGTAAGAAATTGCCTTCAGGGTATGTGCATATGGAATATAAAATGTATTTCATGTTTAGGATAGAGTTTCACCTCCAAGATATTATATATGAAAATATTCTGGTCCAAAGCATTTCAGATAATGGATAATCAACCTGTGCAAAAAATTAATGGAAAAAAAAGGTTGGTTTTGGAAAAGATTACAGTTATCTAAACTTGAACAAGACTAAAGTTGAATAAAAGATTCAAAATCAGATGAAAAAGACATTAAAAAGGATCATGAGACTAATAGTTATATGACACCAAGTTGGATAAGTTACAAGAAATAAATTTCTGGATGCACACAACCTACTATGATTGAATTATTGTTATTTATGGTTTAGATATGAGGTGTTCCCATTGTTCAGAGATGAAACAATTGGATTATGAGAGGAATAATGGCTTAATCCTCTGATATGGATCAACTGGGTGGAGGAGACAGGTCACTGGGCCTTTGGGGTTTATATTGTGTCCATGGTGAGCAGAATTCTCTGCTTCCTAATTGCCATGTTCTGAGTTGCTTTCCTTCACCATACTCTCTGCCATGATGTCCAACCCCTTCTTGGGCCCAGAGCTACGGAACCAGCCATCTATGGACTGAGACCTCTGAAACCATCAGCCAAATAAAATTTTCCTTTTCTCAAATTGTTCTTGTCAGCTCTTTTGGTTATAGCAGCCAAAAATACTGATTAAAACAGAAATTGGTACTGAGAAGTAGGGTCATTGATGTGACTAACCTGGTCACATGGTTTGGAAGCATTTGGAGCTAGTTCTTGGAAGGTGGAATTTGCTAAAGTTTGGAGATGCAAACTGAAAAACTTTAAGTGTTATAAGCAAAGCTTAATGGGTGAATCTGGTGGGGTTTCATAAGACTAGAATGCCCACAGGACAGTGGAGAGTAAAGATTGGGCTCATGAGGTTTCAGAGAACGATTCTACTGGAAATTAAACTACAGTCTAAAAAAGTTGTCTACATTTTGCCCATGTTCTAAGAGTCTTTGTGAGGCTGAATTTAAAATAATGGACTAATTAATCTGATGGAGGAAATTTCAAGGCAGCACAGTATTCAGGCAGTGGCATGGATATTACTGGCAGCTTTTAACCAAGTTTACTGTGATAATTAGGAGCAGAAAGCAAAGATTTGAAAAACTTGGTCAGAGAAGTGTGAGTAAAACTGGGGCTAAGGAAGGTGTGGTTATTAAAGAGACACTGGTAAGTACTCAGAAACAACAGGAAAGACTGATGTTCTGAGGACATCTCAGAAATTGACAAGATGACAACCATGTCAGGCTCAAGGATGCAAAAGTTCTTTTGAGAAGAAACCCTGTGAGAACCCTGCTTGCAGGGTGGGGGTGGGACTAGGAAGTAGTTTCACCTTGCTCAGCCACTCAGGCTGCTTACAACCACAGTCCTTAGAGACTACTGCTCAAGATGGCAGGAGATCTTGGCATCAACTGTGTGGTTCTGCAGGAATGCAAGATGCTAGAATTAAGGGGATCATGGAGGATTCCACCAAGATAAACTTTTCTTCCTCTACTTATTCTTGTCAGGTGTTTTGGTCACAGTGATGAAAAAGCTGACTAAAGCAATTATGAAGAAACAAAATCTTAACAGACCAATAATGAGTGTCTCCAAAGAAAAGCACTGATGGTTTCACTGCTGAATCATACCAATCATTTAAAGGATAGGAATTCTTCTCACTGTTCCTAAAAATAGAAAGGAAAAGAAAAGGAATTCTTCTAAACTCAACTCACGAGTGACTAGCATCACTCTGATACCAAAATAAGAAAAGGCATAACCAAACAAATTAGAGGCCATATCTCTGATGAACACACATGTAAAAATCAACAAAATATCAAATTGAATAGTACATAAACATCATTCACCATGATCAAGTGGAAATCATTCCAGGAATGCAAAATGATTCAACATATAAACATATCACCCTAGTGGAATGAAGAATAAAAACTTTCAACAGATGCATAAAAAACACTTGATAAAATTCAATATCCCTTTATGATAAAAATGCTGAAGAAACCAGGTATAGAGGGAATGTTCCTCAGCACAATCAAAGTCATATGACAAAATAGCTAACATAGTACCAAATGGAAAAGTTGAGCTTTTCCTCTAAACTCTGGAAAAAGACAAGGAAACTGATTTGTGCTACTTTTATTCAAAATACCAGAGGAGGTCCTAGGCTAGGGCATTTTATTAGGCAAGAGAAAGAAATAAAAGGTATCTAAATTGAAAAGGAAAAACTGTCCTTATTTGCAAATGATTTATATATAAAAGACCCTAAGGACTATACCAAATATCTGTTAGATCAAATAAATTCAGTAAAGTTATTGGATACAACAGTCAACATGATAAATCAGTAGCATTTCAATACACTAATAGCAAAGTTATCTGGAAAAAAAAAGCAATCCTTTTTACAAAAGTTATCAAAAACAAAGAAAAAAAGGTAAATTTAACAAAGGAGGTGAAAGATATCTGTTCTGAAAGCTACAGAATATTGAATGAAAAAAATTGAAAAAAAATACAAATGAAAGATGTTCCATATTCACAGAAGAACAAATATTATTAAAATGTTTATACCACCCAAAAAGACATATCAATGAAGTCCACCTCAAAACACCTATTATATTCTTCACAGAGATAGGAAAAAATCCTAAAATTCATGTGTAAATACAAAAGACCCCAAATAGCCAACATAAGGGCGGGGGGCAGAGGCATATAATGCCTGATTTCAAAACATATTACAAAGTTATATTAACCAAAACAGCATGGTACTGGCATAAAAACAGACACATAGACCAAGGTAAAAAAAATAGCACAAATAAATTAATGCATTTACAACCAAATGGTTTTCAACAAAGATGCCAAGAATACATGATGGGGAGAGGACGGTCTCTTCAAAATAGTGGTACTAGGAAAGTCAGATA